CGGGGCTCGATCCCAGGACCCTGGGACCATGACCTGAGCTGAAGGCAGACGCCTAACGACTGAGCCACCCAGGCTCCCAATAAAATGCTATTTTAAAGTGCTATATAAATAGGGGCGCCTGGGTGGCTCAGTCGGTTAAGCGTCTGCCTTCGGCTCAGGTCATGATCCCAGGGTCCTGGGATGGAGCCCCGCGTCCAGCTCCCAGCTCAGAGGGGAGTCTGCTTCTCCCTCTCCCTTGGCTTGTGTTCTCTCTCTCTCTCTCTCCCTCTGTCAAACAAATGTCTAAAACAAAAAAAGTGCTATATAAATATAGCACCGGAAGTGGCTGGAATAAAACCAAACTATCCCCCAGCAAGAGGCAGACTGACACGAAAGGAGAGTCGCTGTTGTCCTGGCATTGCCCCAAGGACACCTATCACCTTGTCTACTGTAAATATAGGGATAACTGCTACCCAGGATTTGAAGCCCTGATCTGACTGGGCGGGGAGCCTGACTCATCAGTGATTCAGGAGAGGGTCCTAAAAGCCCCAGATCATGGAGTAAAATAACTCTAAAAAAAGCCTTAGAAAACATTTTTCTTTGAAGCCAAATATATGGGGATAATCCACTCCTTACTTCCTCTTTTCCTTCTAATTGTCCCTAATGTTTCATTCTTTTCTAACCCACTCCCCTCTCATGAGAGAAATGATCTCCTTTTGTTAGTAAACCAAACTTACAAAAATGGTGCTGGTAGCAGAGTTGGTCTCAATCTCACTATCGGACAAGGTGCCCCGAGAGCTTGCCAAGTGGGCGCTGCCCTCACCACCTGGCCCATCACCTGCATTGCTGCTCAGGTCACTGTCTGCTCCAAGGGTCTCTCCAGAGCTATTACTCACCTGGCAAGGAAAGAAAGGTAGGAAGGGATAGTCCCCAGCGAAGGGTTCGCAGAAATGCCCAGCTGTTAGAACTCTCTACTGCCATTAAAAAAAAAAAAAAAGGGCACTGAACGTCAAAGGTGCGTCAGGTAGCCTCTGGAAGTACCTTCTTTACAAGTTGAGAAGCCCTGGGTGAAATCTCAGGGTCTGATCCCACGCACACAGACCTACGCCAGGTGAGCATCTCCACCGTGAGAACCAAGCTGACACGAGACTAAGAGCCTCCAAAGGAGAAAGCAGCCCCCTTTTCCAAAGGGGCACTCACACCCCCACCCCCCAAGATGCCAGTGTGGTGTTCCCCTACCACGGTGCTAACTTCAGAGTCCTGACTTGAGCTTCGGATCATAACAGCTGGACTCACACCAATGACAGAGTCTGGATCAGTCCTCTGAAACGACATGGGAACTCAGACACATTAGAGGCGGTGTCCCATCTACTCTCATTTCCCTAAGAAATACTGTATCTTCTTCCTTTTTCTCAACCCCAACCTACTATTATCATCCCTAAACAGGTCATGAGAAGTTTATTTTTTTCCTGAATATAAGATATACATGACTCGCATGACAAAAAACAATAAACATTAAAGAAATACATGCTCACTATAGAAAATACATGAAAGAATACGGAAACAAAAATAAGCCATAAACCTACCACTAACATTAATCACTGTTAAGGTTTTAGTATACTTCCTTTCAGTCTTTTCTACATACATTTTAAAAATAAAATGGGAATCATACTGCATGTAGCTTTGTAAAACATCTTCCCATGTCACTAAATTTTTGAAAACACAGTCTTCAGTAGATTCTAGTATCATATTATGTAGATATATTACACTTATTTCATCATTCTCTCATCACTGGGCATGCATGTTGTTTTGACGCTGTAATTCACAACAAAGTTGTCACAAACCTGGGAACCAGATGTCAGGCTCACGCCACTGTCCGCGCTGATCTGGGACTTTTTCTCGTCTGTCTCACGGAGGTCAAAGACGGGTTTGATTACTTCGGGCCCTGGGTAGGGGAAAACCTCTGTCACTCCATACACAAAGGCCAGGGGCAGGCTGGTGAGGGGAGTGGGACAGCACACAGCCAGGTCCCAGACCTCAGCAAGCCCCAGTCACCTTTCCAGGGACTGCCTCCACATCAGGCCACCGGAAGAAGTCCCCACATGCCTTAAGACCCAAGTAGGACAAATTAAACCTGGTCTCAAGGGGTTCTGCAGCCTTCTCTCACAACCTGAGAAATTTCTCAGCAAATCATTCTAAGACAGAAAGCTCCACAAACAAATGTCTAAACTACATTCCCCTATACTCAGAGTTGGAGCTTCCCTGGAGTGTGAAACCAATTGAGGGTCCCCAGGTCACTCAGTGATTCCCCAACAAATGTGTCTAAAGGGGCTAGAAAAGGACAGGCCCAACGAGATACAGAAACACCAGCTGTTTCTGTGGACACCGAGTACCCCAACCCTACACCTTTCTACATTTGAGATAAAAACCACCCTCGTTTTTTCCCCACCCACCCACAATGGTATGGCAGAAGGACAGAATGACAGAAAGCAAGAAAGCGTGCCTAGGCAAGCCACCAGAGAGAGCTGGGGAGCTACAGACTCAACATGGAGGGACAGCAACCATCTCTGCCAACTGTGCCCACAGGCCTTCTAACGGGTGAGGGAGATACCAGCCAATGAGGGGCACTGAAATAGGCAAACATTCTCCCCACCAACTCTGGAGCAATAGGGAACCATGTTCTAAGGGACTTTACTCAGTAGACGCCCTGATTACCGCCTGATTGCTAGGAGGAGAGGGGGAAAGAAGCAGCCTACAAGTCACATACCTGTGAGTCACATACCACCTACCTGCTTTTATTCCAAATACCTCCCAAGAGCAAATTTGGGGTGGGGCTGACAAAGGGAGCCTGCCCCAACTGGGCCTGGGGAGTTGGCAGGTATGGGAGATTTGGGAACAGGAAGGGGCATTTGTTCCTTACTCTGTTTTTCCAAAGCTTTTTGCTTTTTCACTTCCTGGTGCTTGTTCCACAATTCTACCCCAGATGCAATGTAAGCAGGAGAGAAAGACAGACAGAGTCAGAGGCTGGTCAGACAGAATGGAAACCCACCCACCCAAGCTGATTCAGTCTCAGGCACAGGATTACAAATCAAGAGATAAAGAGATCTTCATTTTGGGGGGTTAACAATCAAGAGAGCTAAAGCCCCCCTCCCCCACTCACAGACTAAAGACTCTAAATTCCTAACCCGAGCCTGAAAGTGGTAGTAAAAACCCTGCGGAACATGAGAGATGGAGCTGCCTTCGCTCAAACTCCTCCATTTTGGCCTGAGGAAACTGATCCTAACAAGGATGGAGCACTTTGCTCGAGATCATGTAACTCAGGACCAGTTTAAACTTCCACCACGCCACGCTCTCTCTGCTAAATGAGCTGGGCAACAACAATTTTTAAAGATTCCAGAGAAGACAGATGATCACCTCAACCAGCCAAAGGGGTTCGGAAGCGTGAGCACCAATCTGTTTGATTTGCTGGACTGGACAGAGGCCACTCAGGCAGGCAGTTAGCATCCCTCCTTGCCACTACCAAAAAATCCAATTCACCCCCAAAATCAGTCTTCCCTGCCAAGTGACCCATTCTTAGCCAGTCATCAGGAAAAATGCTTCCGGTAAAGGTGACAGAGAACACGAAATGGTCAAGAATAGCATATTTGTTGGGGTAAAGAAAAGAGAATACCGATGATAGCATTCTTTTCCTGGAAGAACTTGAGTATCTACTTAATCCGATCTCCTTGTTTCCCAGATGAGGAGACAGAGACCCTGAGAGAGGAAGTGCTTTGCCCAAAGTCTCATTCCTAGCTGGAAGCAGATACAGGATGAAAACTCCAGGCCTTCAGACTTGCGGGTGGGTACTTTTTCTAGAACATCACATCAGGCAGGAGAAAGGCAGGGTTGACCGCCTCTAGGACACTGTTCTGCTGGCTAGAGAAGGGGAGCTCCCCAACGAAGGACTGGTGCCTCATCGCCATTTATGGGAGCACAAGACAACTGCTAATGGTGTGGCAAAGAAGCATCCATTAGAAGCATAATGCCCACGGAAACAGAACCAGACAAAGAAAGGCACAACCTAGATGACCCAAGGTCAAGTACAGAGGGGGTCAAGTGGAGGTGTCACCCAGAGAGCTCACTAAGGCACTGCCTTAGGGGGAATGGAGAAACATTCAACGTAAACAAGCTCTTAATCAAGTCCAGTAAGGAAAGGTTTAAAAAAAAGCTGATTCAGAAATCTATACCTTGAGGCCTAGGGCCCAGGGAAATGAGGTTGCTGGACACCCCCCAGAGAAGCAAATTTGAGGGTAGTGTCAGGGTTGGATGGGGGTAAACCGGCCCAGACGATCATAATTTTATAGACCAAAGATGCATCTATAAACTTTCTTACAGCTTCCAGGAGCTCACATGGCTCTCCACTGTGTGAAGAAATTCAGATGTAAATAAAAAGAGGGACCAGGAATAGAACTCAGACTCCCTGCACTAAACCTCACTGAGCCTTCTAAGCAAAACTTCCCTTCTTCCTCTAAGATGTAGGTGGGGGTGCCTATAAAGAAAGCATAAGGGATAAAAAAGTACAAAGAAATACCATCAGAAATGGACGCAGACCTATCTCCCTCTCTAGAAAGCAAAGCATGGGGGAAAAGAAAGGCAGGATTCTGGATGAATTGAAAGGAGGGAGAGGTATTTAAGAAGCCAGAACCCTCTCTCCACCACACAAAACACAGTGATACATACCAACAGATGCTACAAAGTTCTCTTCCTTTAAACTTCTGGTGTCCAGTTCTTTAGGACCCTTTCCTGCAGCACTTGGCGCCCGAGGTCCCAGCTGCGGAACTCTCAGCTGTGCCGTAGCCTTTGGGTCCCCCCGCCCAGCCAGGCCAGGATCCTTGCCAACTGGGGTATTTACACTCTCTGTTGGACTTCTCTTCCGCTTGTCTGGTTCTAGGAAAAGATCGAATAGAGAAAGAGGTCAAAAGAGACAGTAGGTGGGAATCGAGCTATGGGAGTGAGGCGAGAGAAGCAAGGCTGCAGGAGGATGGAGAATGGAAGAAGTGCAAGGAAAGAAAAGCGGATATCTTTTTCGTGACAGAAAAATACCCAGTACGGACAAACGTGCATTAAAAAATAAAATCCCGAAGCCTGATGGGAAGCAGCCTAGCCCCGGGAAACTTGTAAAAGAACAAGTTCCCTAGGGGCACCTGGGTGGCTCAGTCGTTAAGCGTCTGCCTTCGGCTCAGGTCATGATTCCAGCGTCCTGGGATCGAGTCCCACATCGGGTTCCCTGCTCAGCGGGGAATCTGCATTCTCCCTATGCCTGCCACTCCCCCTACTGTGCTCTCTCTCTCTGACAAAATAAATAAACAAAAATCTTAAAAAAAAAAAAAAAAAGAACAAGTTCCCTTTCGTTGGAGATCAGTGAGAGAGTTGTGGACGGCGCTGGCCCAGCCAGTGTGATCCTACCTTTACTATAGTAGTGGGTCTGGGCAATCTCCAGAAGCCCAAAGATGCTGGCCATGCCACCCAGACCTGCGTGGGCATAGGACTGCTCCAGGCTGAGTACCGTGCACTTGAGCAGGTCTAACATTCCCTTGTACACCTTTCGACTGATCTCCTGCAACAACAAGCCAGGGGTGAGAGTTGGCAAAACTGCCTTTGGTGTTCAGGTCCCTCTTCCAGCTGATTCCAGCTCCCCACCCCAGACACTGACCACGTCGGGGATGGCATCCTGCCGGGCATCATCCTCTGACTGCACTGTGCGGTTCAGCTTGCTCAGGACAAAGACTCGCAGTTGCTCACTCTCCAGTAGCCGACGCACCTTCTTCATGTTGAGCCAGCCAACGCCCTGGCCATCCAGCACGCTGTGGACCACCTCCTTCAGGAACTGCTGGTTCTCACTATGGGGTCCACACACCACTTCTGTGGTCATCAGCTTCTGTGCAGAGCACTCCCCCTACTTCACCAGACTAGATGCTTGCCTCCAGGGGCGAAACACAAAGCCATGTCTCTAGGCGTCCAAGTTCCCTGCACCCCCTGCCCACACCCCCACCCCGCGTACCCAGCACTGTGGTTTCATTCTCCTCGCTGGCGTGGGCTACTACCGTCACGTGGGGATTCAGTCAGAATGGGCAGTGCGCGCAAGAACTGATTTCATCTACCCAACTGAGAGGTGCTCTCCCACTCCTGAGCATCCCTGAAGTGGTACAGGAATCGCAACCTCTAGCACAGAACTTCCAAAATAGCCCAGCCATTTGTTACCTAGAATTGCTGGATCGACCCTGAGGTGATGGAGGCTCTCTTTTCACTGTTGGGCTGTGTTTAATAACAGACGACTTCTGGTCCACTAAGGCCCTCCTGTTTCCTATAGCCAGGAAGGTAGGAATGAGAGTAGCCCTGTGTCAGCACCGCCCTGGGGAGCCACGTTCCACACCCATTCCGCAGAAGGGCTGGGTGAGGGTGGCCCCGGGGTATCACACATAGGTAGAAACCAGCCATGGCAACGTGGAGGAGGTGGGGATGGAGACTCAGGCCACTCCACATGCACCAGCAGCACGCCCATGGGCAAGCACGGGCGTCACGGGGGACGGGGCAAGGCAGGTCACTCATGTGATACTGCTTGCCCCATGAGGAGGACGGCCCTCAGGCAGGCACAGAAGATGCTAGGAAAAAAAGATCATGCACAGCTCACGGGTAAGACCCACCTTCACCACTCCCGGGGCCGGCTTCAGTAACAATCTCCATTAGAGTATTTAGCCCAAATACTGGGACACAAAATACACAATTAGTAGGTGCAGCATGATACCACAACCCCTGTTCCCCTCAACGGAGCTGTAAGTCAGACAATCTGAGGATTCTCCCAAAGCTTAGTGCACATGACCTTAGTTCTCAGGCACCTCAGAGCTGGAAGCCAAGAGATCAGGAAACCACCAAGGCTCTAGGAAAGACCATCCTTAAGACTATGGTCTCTAAAAGCCAGGGGCAGGGTAAATGACATGAGGGACCTTCAGGTACTACACAGGCACATGCATGAAAGAGGGACTGCTGGTTTTCATGAGACATCTAGCACAGGGGTCCAGAGGGCCTGCCGGGTATGCAGGGAGAGGAGACCCATCTTGCAGATGCTGTCATGGGAAGTGGGGCGGGGGTGTGAGGATGGGAGGCAGATGGGAGCAAGAAGGACAATAAATGAAGTGAAGCATCAGCATGCGATGAAGGCATTTCAACTGCTTTCCTCCCCAACTGCATCAAAGCCAGGGACGCTAACACTTTTTCACCCCTAAGCTACTGAGTCGTGTGTGAATTTGCGCCCTACACCTCTAGCTATTATGTCCCTCTGCCTACCTACCCTATGTTCCCATCCCCACCAGAGAACACTCCTTTGATTCCTGAAGTTTTTAAGCACTGAGAAGAGAAGTCAGTTAAAATATATACAGAGCTGCTTCTCACTATGCTTTCTACTGTAATTAAATATTTCAGCACAATAGCTAGAGAAAACAAATGTCAATAGAATAAATTCTGAAGAGACCTTCAGACGCTCCGAGATCACAAATGAAAGTCAAATAAGGTCTTAACTGCTCTTAGAAGCCAACCAAATACTACCTGGCCCACCCACAGGGCCCATCAACATGAAGCCAAAGTAAGAGGCTTCTTGGCTCTATGAACACCGCCAGGCTCTCGCAACCACCCCCAGCAGGCCAGCTCCCTGGGATGGAGTTCCTCTTCTGTTCATGCAGTAGGAACCCGGCAGATGACTGGTGGCAGCTGATGATCCCTGTGTTAATTATGATCCCCCCAGAAGCAGCAGTAATCTCACAGTTGCTCTTATCCTAAATGACATAACAGGGCCTTCCCTTCAGCTACGAAGATCGTTTCCATCTGAAAACCAGTCAGAGCCCATCATGTGCAATGAAAGCCATGAGAAGCGGTATGAGGGGCCACAGCCAGATCAAATGAGTCATCACAACAGGGCTCCTGAGAAGCACCCAGAGGCCTGAAATAGCTCCCGGAGAATCCTGGTTCGGCGGAAGGAGGGCTGTAGTTACCTTTCAGACTGGGGAAGGGTGTGGTCTTCTCTCGGGCACTTTTGGTGGGCAGTGTGAGGTTTGAAAGACTGAAGCTTGTACTGTGGTTCCGATATAGGCTGCCTGTCAAGGGGAGGGTGGGAGAGCGAGCAGTTAGGAGCATAAGGAATCAAAGCTGATGACTGTACCATCATTTCCATCTTCCTCCTTTTCAAACATAATCCCAGTACCTCTGATCTACCATAGAAAGGACCAAGTCTATAATTTAGGGCAACTGCCAGGATGGCTCAAAACCCAGTAACAACTTTCTCTGACCACCTCCCCTGGTAATAGCCGAGTCTCTCATCAACTGCTAACTCAGCAGGAAAGCTGACAGTTAATGCACTTTTGGTCAGAAGTTGGTGCTGTCCCTACCTGGCTTCTGAAAAAACTCACAATCATAATTATCTGGTCCCTGGTCTGTCCTCAATCTTTGACTGACACCACCCCTCCTTTCTGGAAATATTCTCTAGGCACAAAAGTCAACCTCATGTAGATTTCAAAGTGTGTTCACGAAAAAGTCCTTCACCAGGCAAAGAAGGTATTAGATACAGAACCCAAATCAAATTTGACCACTTTATTTCCACAAAACATATGACGTTCAATACAATGACTCTTTCTCAGTTGACCAGCTAGCTTACCTGAGATAGACTGAAACCTCTGGGGATAAAGATAGAGACTAATCTGTGCCTGTCCTTTACCCATGAAAATACTTTATTCACTGTCACCCAAGCAACCTGGATTGGGGCTCGATAACACCAATCCAGCCCTACATCTCAAGTTCTAAGCAGCATCCACCGTGGCCAGGCCCTACTGCAGAGAAAATGCGACAGAGGCAGGAGAGCTAAAGGCACTTACTGGCAAAAGACATGATGCCCCCGAAGCCCTCGGTGCTGTTGTTGGAGACGGTGGAGGTGGGTGAGCTCGCTCGAGAGTCTGACTCTGCGTCTGAGTCGCTTGCCAGTTTCAAGCTGTTGGGCCGCAGCAGCTTTTGAGCCCTTGAATGCACAGTGGCACCTATGAGCCCCAGGCAGGGGTACCTAGTCTTGGGAGTGTGGGCCTGAGGCTACACTGCCGTCGCAGCTCCCTTCCCGCAACTTCTATGTCTAGATCAAAGCACCACCTTGGGATGGCGGGCCACCAGAGCATTCGGACATCTCCAACTTTCTGATTAACCCTCACCCAGGGTCCACTGTAGTGAGGTCCTTGAGTCACCCATCTAGAAGGAGTCCCCAGGCTCTCACCGACTGCCATTGACATGTTGGCTGAATCGGGGAGTGTAACTTTCCCCCTGTTCATCATCATCTTCCTCAGGGGGAAGGCCATACTGGGGCTCGAAGTATGGATTGTCATAGGTTCGCCGGCGCACTGACCCCTCTCCAATTTCTGTCTGGCGCCTGTCTGTGTTCGATTTGCCAGTGCTGGGAGGCACGGTAGGGAGGGGCTTGGAGACACCTCCTGCTGCCTTATCGTCCACCCCTGTTGAGTCGGCAGGTTCCTAAAGGCCACATTAAATAAAAACTGGTCACCTGGTGCCCAGTGATACTTTCCTGTATTCTCAGTTTAGCAGGGCCAAGCCAGGCCTATCAAGTTCCCATCTCCTATCCCAAGGGAATGTGGGAGAAAAGATCTCTGTGACACCCCTGTTCTCTGTGCCCACCAACTACGCAAGGGGGATCTTAGCTAAGCCCTGAACAAAGCCCGATGAGTTCCTTCTGGGGTCAAAACTGTGTCCCCTAGGCTCTAAGCTGGGAGACCTACGGCGACGAAGACAGGAAGAATGTGAAGAGGCAGATTAACAGCTTCAGCCTCGACTTTCTAAGGGAAGCGTGGCCCACATCCCACCCTTGTCCATCCTTCCAAGCCCTCACGTACAGAAGCAGCTCCATGGATGACCATGTTGGGGCCACTGCCGGTGGTGGCACTGGAGCTGGAGCGCAGAGGCGGGCTCTCCCGAGGGTGTTCGCTGTCTGGGCCCAGCTCCTCTGAGTCCTTCTGGCTCTGCAGCTCATCAATCTCCACCTCACTGGCATCCCCCAGGGCTGCGTGTGTCAGTGGATCCACACCTGCCAAAACCCCAGGTGGCAGGTACAGACCACACAGCCCCAGAGCCCCAAACCCTGCCCAGAGTGGCCAATCCCCCCAAGTACACTTACTGGGGGTGTCACCATCGATGCCACATTTCATCATTTCACTGACAAAGTCGCCAAGAGAGGAGTAAGAAGAGCTTGAGTCATCATAATCCATACTGTCACTGCCGCTGCAGAGCGAAGAGCACAAAAATAAAAAGAACGGAAGAAAGGGGCAGGGAAAGGAATAGCGATCGGCAGTAGGAAAAATAAAAAAGGAAGGACTCTCATACACACACACACACACACACACACACACACACACAGGAATATTACTCAGCCATAAAAAAGAATGAAATCTCGCCATCTGCAACAACGTGGTTGGAGCCAGAGTATAATACTAAGTGAAATAGGTCAGGGAAAGATAAATACCATATGATTTCACCCATATGCAGAATTTAAGAAACAAAACAAATGAACAAAGGAAAAAAAAAAAAAAAGACAAACCAAGAAAGAAACTCTTAACAATACAGAACAAGCTGATGGCTACCAGAGAGGAGGAGGGTGGGGAGTGAAATAGGTAATGGGGATTAAAGAGTACGTTTATCACGATAAACACTGACTAATGTGTAGAATTGCTAAATCACTGTATTGTACGCCTGAGACTAATATAACGCTGTATGCTAACTACACTGGAACTAAAATTAAAAACTTAAAAAAAAGGGGGGAGGCGCCTGGGTGGCTCAGTCAGTTAAGTATCCGACTCCTGATTTTGACTCAGGTCATGATTTCAGGGTTGGGGGATCGAGCCCCACGTCGGGCTCTGCGCTCAGCAGAGTCTGCTTGCTTCTCTCCCTCTCCCTCCGCTCTTCCGTGTGCTCTTTCTCTCTCTCTCTCTCAAATAAAGAAGTCTTTAAAAAAAACTTAAAAAAAAAAAAAAAAGAGGTGCACTCTTTAATCAAGGCCAGGGAACAAGATAAAATAAGTAAGCTAACACAAAACAATCAACCAAAATATAACCAAGGCTTCAAAGACTAACTAACGTCTAAGTCCTATGAGACTTCGCCACTGTGCTCAGTAAGGGCTAGTGACAGCCTTTTTACCTTAAAAAGCGGTTTTGCTGCTCACCTGTCATCAGTGGGGTCCGAGTCAGAGTCGTGCTCTGGGGGCACACTCAGTGCCTCAGCCAGCTGGGAATTGCTATCGTAGACTCGATAATGGATAGGCTGCAGCTGATGAGCATACCACTTTGGCTTGTCACCAATCAGGGCTGGATCAAACATGTCTACCCAAAGAGAAGAAAGAACAGTTAGCAACAAGGAGAAAAAAAACAAGCGGAACATAAAAGAAAGATAGGAAAAAGTCTAAAGCGAAATAGGAATGGAAGGGGCAGGTCAAAGATGAGAAAAGGCAAAGGCAAAGGGAAGAGCCATCAGGGGACAAAGGCAGAAGGTGGGGCAGGGCAGAGGGCAGGGCAGAGCAGAGGGCAGGTGCACTCACTGTTGTGAATTCGCTGGAAGGCATAGTTGGTGGGGTTAAGGATCCATTCTCCAAAGTACTCCACAGCCTGAGTCCTGGCCAGCTTCTCAGCAAAAGGAGTCTGCCGGGGACGTGAGGCTAGAAAGGAGCCAGCTTGAAAAGCTACCACAGGCCGAGGGAAGAGACGCAGGGTACGTGTGTGCATCTGAAAGCCCTGCAGCACGTTGGGGGAGTTGAAGAAACGGACCATGGCCACTCTGGGGACAAAGGGGATGGTGAGATAATCCGAGTCCCACACCCTGCACTGTAAGGACGGCTGCAATCCAAGGTCTCAGACCACCTCCCCAAGCCATCACTTCAGAGGCTTCCAACATCCAAGGGAGAGGAATCTTACACAATCATCAATCTCTTTCTTCACTCGAGGTCTAAAAGGCCTGAGAGTATGAGGAACTAGTTCTTCTCTTTGCTTTTACCAAGGTGGCAAATGCAACTACTGAGAGAGCAGAACCCAGTTTAAGAGCTCGTGATTATCCAGTCATGGTGGTCGTACCTGGTTGCAACATCCACAGAATCCACATCATTGCCATAGATGAGTGGGTTGAATTCAGTGGAAGGTGTGGACTGCAGGTCGTTAGAAGGTCTTCCCAAGAGAAGGGGGATCTCCTGGCCTTCATGGAATTTCTCCAGATTGAGGATGGGCTGGGTGTTGAGACTCATGCTGGCAAGGGCCTGTGGAACAACAAGAAATCCCCTATGGAATGCAGATTCCTGGGCAGCTGGTCAATCTCATCTCCTAGGAAAGAGCCTTTGACATAAGAATCCAAATACTTTAACCTTTGGAAGATAATCTGAATTATATAGCCTTTCAGTTTAAGCCAACCTAGCTCAAGGCAACTTGATCAAATCTGGAGCCCAGGGCAATAGTTTTCAAATTTATTTTAGCCATGAAATGTTGTTTCAGTTGAAATCTATATGAAAATATAAACAACTGAAACACTTAAAAGTAAAGCTTCTCTGAAGGACATAAGGAACCCAGAACCTCACATGTTCAGTGTTCCCAGCCTAAATCAGCCCCTCAGAGGCTCCTTGGGGCAGTTTGAAAACCACTGGTCTAGACCAGCAGTGCTTCTTAAATATTAATGAGCAGAGGAGTCACCTGGGAATGTTGTTAAAATGCAGATTCTGGTTCAATATATCTGGGGTGATCCTGCACTTTTAACAACCTCAGGCAATGGTAATGCTGCTGGTCCATGAATCACACTTCAAGTAGCAGAGGTAAGAATACAGGATTAATGAGCCCAGGCATCTTAACTCCTATAAACATGTAAAGTACAATTCTACATATCAAACTCTCCATCTCATTAGTCATACGAAAGCAATCATCAAGAATGAAAACACAGAAAAGGCAGGCAGAGAACTTTCTCAACTTGCAATCCTCACCAGTCTCTGCAGTAACAAGACACCATATTACATCAGCAGGGATGAAGCAAGTGAGAGGGAGAGGGATGCTACAGAATGGCCCAGTTAAACCCAAACAGAGATCTAGAGGTACCGCTGAGCAACAAAGACAACACGGAGATTCCTGAAGACCCTTCAGATGAGAACAAGGATTCCTATAAAAAAATACGGAGCCATCTACTGGTGGTCCTACATAACACACACAAAAGGGCGAAGGAATAGGACCCTATCGTATTTTACCTTCAGGTACTGTGTTCAGCATGCAGAAGAGGAAGAAAATCAATCAATGAAAATGTATTTAAAGGATTACTCAAAGAGAGGAATTTTTTTTTTTTAAAGATTGTATTTATTTGACAGAGAGAGAGACAGCGAGAGAGGGAACACAAGCGGAGGGAGTGGGAGAGGGAGAAGCAGGCTTCCCGCGGAGCAGGGAGCCCGATGCGGGGCTCGATCCCAGGACCCTGGGACCATGACCTGAGCTGAAGGCAGACGCTTAACGACTGAGCCACCCAGGCGCCCCAAAGAGAGGAATTTTTGAAGAAAGCATTCTACAGGGACCTAGAGATCAATTCAAGAGGAAAATATAAAAGGAGTCAGATTGTCCAAATGACTAGCTCCTTCCTTACAAGACTGACAGAATGCTCTAAGGCCATAAAGAATGGTAGACATGAGGGGAGCCTGGGTGGCTCGGTCGGTTGAATGTCCGACTCTTAGTTTCGGCTCAGGTCATGATCTCAAGGTAGTGGGCTCCAGCCCCGCGTTGGGCTCCATGCTCAGTGGGAAGCCTGCTTGAGATTCTCTCCCTGTGCCCCTCCCTCTCCCCACGTGCTCTCTTAAAACTAAATAAATCTTAAAAAAAAATAAGTAAATAAAAGCCCTTTTTGAGATTCATCCTGACACCCAGAAATGGGACACACCTCTTCTTAGCTAAGAAAATCTATTCCATTGACGTCTGAAAGGAAAGTGGCTCTTACGACAGCTACAGCCTATGGCCGACCTAGAGTAGCCACTGCTCCCTTCCTTTTCGTCACTCTTCACCCACCTGCTTCAAATGCTTTTTCAGCTCTAAGGATTCCGGTTCTGGCAGGGTTGGGAGCACTTCTGCATTGGTGGGGGCAATCACCTGCACCAGGAAAAAGATAAAAGGCATGAGCTTAGAATTAATTGCTCAGGAGTTACTCTTACATAGAGTAAGTAACAAAAATACTAAGTTGTATACGCAATATTTTCACCTATATGTGAGCGCATATATTACGTATATACATGTATGTATAAAATATGCACATACTACACCTAAAAAGAAATACACCTCAATGTTACTAGTGACTATCTCTACGTGATAGGACTGTGGTTTTATTTCTTTACACTTATTTGTATTTTTAAAGTTTTACAATGAACACATATAAGGGTTCCTGCTGAAGTTTGAATGTATTCACGCCACAGAATATTAATATACATTTTAAGTCTGCACTGAAAGACACTTTCTTACTAGAAACCACACCCCAGGAAAACCATCAGGTGAGCTATACTGTGTGTAGTGTTCCCACAATCACGACTGCCCTACTGCTCATAGATGCAGGGCAGCACTTCATTCTGGCAAAACTGAATCTTACCCTCCTTTGAGCCCTAACCAAGGGACTATTAAGCCAATAAAGTAAAAGCTAAGCATTTAAAAAAATTGTTTCAATGAGTCACACAAGAGAAATCACCTAACTGAGGACCTTCCTGGGAATAATCTAGAAAAAGAAAACACTAGACAAAGAAATCCTATTCTAGACTCTACAGTCCCTCAGTCAAGAGCCTCACTCTATTGCTGTCCAGATCCACCAGCCAGGCATCATCGGGCATTCGGAAGTCCAGTTTGTAGAGGAAGAAGCTAGCAGGGACCCCAATGATGTACGGAGTTGGAGCCAACAGCAGCTGTGGAAAGAAAAGAGGGTAAGAAACAAAAACTAAACCTATTCTGATCACTTAAAGAATCAGGATCTTTTCAGATAAGGAAATGCAGGTCCACAATCTCTTTTCCAAAACTCTTGAGGGTAGGTGTGTTTCAGCATTCACAATTTTTCAGATTTTAGAATGGTAACAATGTATATTCTTCTTTTTCTTTTTTTTTTTTAAGATTTTTTTTTAATTTATTTATTTGACAGAGAGACAGCACAAGTAGGCAGAGCGGCAGGCAGAGGGAAAGGGAGAAGCAGGCTCTCCGCTGAGCAGGGAGCCCGATGCGGGGCTCGATCCCAGGACCCTGGGATCATGACCCGAGCCGAAGGCAGACGCTTAACCGACTGAGCCACCCAGGCGCCCCAACATTTACTTTGAAAGTAAAAACCATAGGGGCGCCTGGGTGGCTCAGATGGTTAAACGTCTGCCTTCGGCTCGGGTCATGATCCCAGGGTCCTGGGATCGAGTCCCACATCAGGCTCCCTGCTCCTTGGGAGCCTGCTTCTCCCTCTGCCTCTCTCTCTCTCTCTGTCTCTCATGAATAAATAAATAAAATCTTTAAAAAAAAAAAAAAGAAAGTAAAAACCATAAATAACATAGGTTTTGCCATCAAATCAGTTCAAGTTAGGTCATGTTTCACAGACAAATAAGTTATAATAAGGGATTGAAGACGAGTACTGATTTACAACTTCTTGCTATCGATCATCCTCCCTCAGAGCTGGACAGAGCTGGAAGACAGAGGTGACAAAGCCAGAAAGCACCTGAAACTCACCTGTTCTGCTGATGCCATGCAGGTGGGCAGCAGTGGGATTACAGGAAACATATACTCCAGTGGGTAGATCATCGCCACAAATGCCATCACAGACATGGAGAGGGCATTGTAGTCTCGGGACTGTAGCACCACCTGCCGCAAGCCGTACCACAAGGGTCATTCAACAGCATACATAAGGTGGATGAGAAAACAGTTTCCAGCGCTGCAACTTCATTTCCATTTCACCACGCCCTAGGGCTCCGCGAGCATAGCTTCCACAGTGATCTCTGCCCCATGCCTTACCTTCCTGGTTCTTGTTCTCCCAATTCCAGGACCACCCACTGGAACAGAACTACCGATATTTTCAGAGAATTAGGTCAGTCTAGTTAAGGATAACTCAACTGAGCAGCAAACCCTCTGAATACATGCTACTGAGAGTACCTCAATTCAACCCACACCTACGGAGTCCCTGCTGTATACCTGGCATCATGTTACCTCCTAGGGACAAAAAGATGAAAAAGATGTAGGCCCTGTCCTTAAAGGTCTAGAAAGCTGGCTCTCTCACCTTGTGCTCTAACAGGATGCAGGTTAGCACCTGAAGACAGGCATCCACACCCAGAAGTTCCAAGGGAAGGTGCAGTGGGAAATCCACTAGGGTGAATCGAGAAGGGTCTGGAAGAGCAAAGGTCAGAGCTTGTTGGAGCTCCTGGGGTAGGACCTCAATGTCCACTCGCTTCTGCCCAGAGACGGGCACTGGGGAGCGCAGCAATCGATAGATCCAGGCCTCAATTTCTCGAAGGTCATGCAGAAGGGCACTTGACTTCTCCTCCACTAGCAACGATCCGGTAAAGATGCGCCACATAGTGTCCCTGAGGAGCAGAGAGCGGGAAACAGACACATAAGCACCAAGAGCTCATACCCCACTGCAATACAATACAGTACCCATATGGTAAAAATGGTAACAACTGGAAAAGCCCACTCTTTGGGCTCAGCTGGGACCAGAGGGTATATACAAGAGTGAGAACAAACGTAAAAACGTGTACATAGCAGGACTTAGATTCCTGCCTGCCATGAAACAGCAAACTCCAAACATTACTACGTTAGAAAGTCTAACTCTGCAGCAGTCTTTCCCTTAGGAAGGACTAATACATGCTTAAATAGGTGGATGAAGGGCCTCAGGCTATTTTTCTAATGATTTTTTTTTTTTTTTACAAAAGTTTATTCTTAAATGTACAACAGGATCTAAGACAACACTTCCTTCTAGATATACGAAGGCCCTCAGGCTTCAGAGGACACTTCCCGCCCCTCACAGACCAGTCACATCTCATCTCTAACTGCTTCCCTCTCTCCTGAGTGTCAGCGGCAAACCGTACCTTTGTATGCCTCGAGGGATGCCCAGTTTCTTGCCCAGCAGCCGCTCACTGCAGCAGTCCACCAGACGTTTGAGGGTGTACAGACATTCTCGGAAGGTGGAGAAGAAGGGATAGTGGCTGAGCACACACAGGGATGTCAGAGTACTATTGCGGGAACGGCTCCCTGCCTTAGCCCGGGGTTTGCCCCGAGGAGACTGACTGACATCGGGGGCGGCGTCAGCATTGGGGGGCTGCAGGGATGAGCCACTCTCTGAGGTCTCAGTGCCAACCTCTTCTGAGGCACAAGTGGCACGGGGTCCTTCCTTCCCACGGGACCCTGCCCCACCTTCCCCCTTTTCCTTAGGCATACGCTTCTGGAAGGAGCGGTAGAAGTTAACACAGATGCCATAACGAGTGACTCCAGTGTCCTTGTCAGTGAGGGTGAAGACAAAAGACGTGTCATCCCGCAAGCTCATGCGCCGCTGCCGCACACTCAGACAGCCCTCGGGCTGGCAGAAGAACACTACGTCTGGGGGCAGGGGGAACTCGGCATGGTCCTCCAGTGGGTATCGCCGCAGTAATTCAGGAGTCTGGGCCACACTATCACTGCTCGGGTGCCTGAAGAACATAAAGACAAGTTCAGCAACCTGAAGGGATAGGATGCCGTCTCAGATGTCAACCGCGGTCCAGAAATAAAGCTCAAAATGCCATTTTGGATAAAGTAACCTAACTGCATGACCTTGGAAAACATGGGTGCGGCTTGCAGCACTTAGCTGGCAGGCTGAATGAGATCTGTACTGTCATGAAGATACCTGTCTTGAAATGCGAGGAAAATTGCAGCAATAGAATTATTACTAAGACCTTAAGATGATTAGCACTTTTAAGGGTGTATTAGCTAAAGAATTACTAACAGGGGGTATGTAGGTAATAACAGGGGAAGAGTGAGATATGCAGAACGATGTGGCTGTTGGCAAGGGGATAATGACACACGTCGTGGTTATCGCAAATGACAAGACAAAAACCAGGCTCTTCTTGGTTACCTGGCCCCTACGATCACCAGATAATCAAGTAACCGAGGACAGAGCTTCTTCTTTTGCACCATGGTTCCAATTCATCAGTTCATTTCAGAGAAACTTCAAGGCACCACACAAGGAGTCAATGTTCCCAGGAGAAATTCTGATGTTATCTGAAAATTCAAGTCCAATAGGAAAAAAGTACTGATAAAATCCACTGCTGTGCCCAAGGGACTCATCCCCCTCAGCTTTATTCCAGCCAGGGTCAGAGGTCAGCTGGGCTTCTGTCGTAGTCCTGACGATGGGAGAACATGACACTTTTCCTAGCCCAGAGCTTGGTCTAGGCTTATGAAATCACAGAGCCAAATATCAAGAAGTAGGATACATAATGGCTCACCTCCCCCATCCCTACAAAGCAGCCCATTTCCAGCCTCACTCTTGGTGCTCTGTTTCTGAAAAAACAGACCCAGTTAGTCTCATCTGGACTCAGTCATTATAATAACAAAAACTAAGTCACTTTAAGGACAGCTCCAGGGTGGATCAGGATCAAACCAGACTCTAATCAGCACTAATCTGTACTCCTACCCCTAGATGAAAACCTAATTATTTTCTGTTTCAACATTCTGCATTCAGCTTCATGTGAAACTACCATAAAAACTGTATACTTCATGCGCTCAGACAATAACGGCGGGCTACTCTACCCTGTGCACTCTCAGATGAAGAATATCTATGCCCCAATTGCTTCGTCTAAACCATTTTTTTCTTCCCTCTTCAAGCAAGAAAGGGGCCCGCTGGCTACCGCCACTAGCTCTGCCCTTGGTGCTGAATCATAGTCTTTCTCCTCTGTTCTAGGACTGGAATCAGTGATACAATACACACAGATGAGACTTTGTCCTTGTACCTCTTACACAAATTAAGAATTAGATGCAGAAATAACAGAATTTCTGCAAGGACAGGGAGAGGCACTCAGAGGAATTTCTAAACCATAGTCCAAAAAGTAGGAAAAGCTTACGTGGTCTTAATTATAATTTAAGTCCTGTTGGGTCTTCATACTCTTCTCTAAGTAAAATGTTTCACTCCACTACAAGGCTATCTTCAGTGCGTAGAGGATTCTACCTCTGTACTCCACACATGGTCACACTAAGACCTCCTTCGCTATACACACAGATATTCCCATTACACTACATACACACACGTCACTCCCTTCTCTGCTGCGGCGTGCACTCCCACACCCAGACATGCATAATCCCTGTGTGCTTAAGGTTCTATTTGATTTAGATAATGAGAAGTTCTATCTTTCTTCTTCTCTCCTTAATAATACATAGACTGCTTGGCAATACTCTCGAATCCTCAAAATACTGCTCCCTCCCTTCTCTTGCTCCCAATAGAGGACCTGCAGGTAATAGGATTTGGTATTGTCTCCATAGCGACTGTGGCGCCCAGGACTATTTATAGCATAGCCACGGCCCCTCCCCTGCTTGGTGACCACACAGTGCCAGCAGCTGCTACTCCAGAGTCGGCCAGGGCCATAACAATTCATTCTCCTTGAATCTAGAGACACCTCTTCCACTGACAGCACCTGCTAATTATTAGGTTATCTTCTCCCCCATCTATTTTTAGTTTATACTCTGTTCTAGTTCTGGATTTTGAGAGAGATATCTTCTTTCCATGCAACCAAAACCAAGTTTCCATGCATGCCATATACTCATTTCTAGGTACTACTACCACCCCAAAAGTCCTTTGGTTCTCTCCAGTGCCATGAAATCATGAGCAAACTGCAGAAGGTGGGGCACTGTTATAAAGTTGATCTCTGGTCCTCCCAAGCAGAGTAAGAAGGGAAGGGAAATAGAGAAATGAAAAGGGACATGGGTAAAAAAGCATACTTCTTTAATTATACGGAAAATGCTTAGGGTGAGAGCCAATGTATCTTAAAACACAATTTACAGGGCCAGAGCTCAAGGCTAAGACTTGAAATCTATGTTTATACTGAAAACCAAGAGCCCTTTCCTGCCAAAATCTCAACAATCACACCTGAAGTATCTTCTATTAATATATTATTAGGGCATCAGACCTCTAGCCTTGATGGGATCTCAGCCCTGCCACTGAGAATCATTTGCTAAAACTCAAGTCATTACCATGCTCTACCATGTTCATCTCCCTCCAGAACCACAAGGACCCTGAGATCCTGTGACTGTTCCAGAACTAATGATAGGATAGATTTTTAGCCACACTTCATACCTCATCAACAGCCACTACCTCCGGTTATTCAGATTGTAGAGATAGGCTTTTCTCCACATTCTCTCCCCTCCCCAGAAAGACTAACATCACCTATAACTCACATCCTGTCTTCATATCAACCCAGACTCAGACTCTGCCTTTTGCTTCAACCATGTTTACTAATCGGGAGTCCCTGGTTCTCAGCTCCTATATTCCAAAGCCATCAAGCTCAAAACGCATACCTATCTGCTTCCTCATCCACTCCATCCAGACGCAGATTTAGAATCCACAGACCTTTAAGTTCTCTATGTCTTTTCAGCCTACAAATGGCCACGTTTAGCAACGCTTTGGATTAGTCCTTCGTTTGGGTGCAGAATGTCATAGTAAAACCACAGGAACCGGAGAGCGAGATGACATATTTGCTGACGTGAGCACAACAGAAGACTCTCTCCCCTCCTACCCAGGCAGTGACCTTGCAAGCGCATCAGCATAGACCGGTCAGCGTGGGGGAGAACGAGAGCAATGAGGCAAGCAATTGGCAGGGTTGGAGAAGAGGAGAGGACAGGAAGAGGAACAATTTAGAGATGCACGAGGATGGGGAGGGAAGCAGTTGCAGGAAAGATGAAATGGTATCTCGACTCTCCAAAAAGCCTGTTTTGAAACACCAAAAACAATTTTTTTCTTTTTCAAAAAAAAACCAAACATGATCTCCAAACCGTGATCAAATACAAGGTGCACACTCAGGCGCGCGCGCGCGCGCGCGCGCCAGGTGCTTATCCCGGCTCGGTCCCCAGCAAGACAGCTCTGCCCGCCCCCTCACCCGCTGGACAGTTCTCCCCCGCCCACGCCCCGAACCAGCGCCACCCGCCAGCCCGGCAGGAATCGAGCCTAGCCGCCGTGAGCTGAGCCCAGTCCGGCAGCCCGCACCTCTTCGGCGGCTCCGAGCGCCCTCACTTCTAGCCCCTTCCCCTTCCCTACGGACCGCCCCGCTTCCCCTCCAGACCCCGTGCCCCCTCCCCACACTCCTTTAGGGCCTCTTCAGAGGCGGCTTCCCCCTAAAGCCCCCGTTTCCTCTCAAAGCCCGTTCCCCCCGGGAAGCCCCGTCCCAAACCCTTCCAGGACCCCCAGTGGCCTGACCTTCCTACCTCCCGAGCCTTGGGGAACCGGCCAGGCCCAGCCAGACGGACCCCAGCAGCTGAGCGTCGGAAGCTCGCCGGCGCCAGCGCCGCTGCGAGTGCGCGCCAGTTCCGTGTCTGCACCGGGGGGCGCGTACCACTCGGAGCCGGTGAGGGAGGGGGAGGATGAGGGGGCCGGGGGCTGTACCACGCACCACGGTGGGGAGGGGTGGTACAGGGCTGCACCAAGCCGAGCGCTGAAGGGTGGAGCCAACCTCGGGAGAAAGGCGGCTACGCACACACCTATCCGTGTGGGAGTGGGAAGGCGGTGGGGAGCGCTGGGCCAGCCCAGCGCCAAGCGTGCCACGGGGAGGACCCAAAGGAATACCTTTTGTTTAGGTTGCACAAAGAAATTTTAATTTGACATGGTAATAGAGCCCATTTCGACGAGATGTGTAATGATCTGGAAGCGACTTCTCAAGATAAAACTGCTCCTGAGACTTTCTGAGCGGCCCCCACACCTCACCCTCCCTCCCCCCGCTAGCGGCTTGGAAGTGCCCAGCAGCCTGGGCTGCAAAGCCGGCTCTCCCGGAGGTGGAGCCTACCAATTCAGGGACGGCGGGGGGGACCGAGGCCGGAAGGCCCGGCCGCAGTCTCACCTACACGGGAGCGCGCAGTGAAGGGGGCGTGAACGGCGCCGCGGTGTCCTCTGGGAAATGGAGTCCAGCCCTTCTGACAGGCCCAACCCACAACGGGGCAGCCTCCCCCTGGCCTCAGGGCACTTGTCTTCCCGTCCCACAGGGCCTGGGGCTCTAGAGCACGGACTGTTGTGCCTTTTTTTTTTTTTTTTAGGTACCAACACAAACCCGAGGCATTATGGGGGCGCGCACGAAGACAGATGCACGACTGAGGTGTTAGGTTCTGAAAATTCACCCACACTCCCCTTCAGAAAGACAACCTGATCCCACCTGGATCATTAAACGGGAAAGGGGTATCTAAGCCTCAGCATTTCATTTACCCTCATAGGACTAGTAAAAGGAGGTCCCCTCTCACTGCCAAGGCTGTCACTTGTGACTTGTCTCCCTCTTCTGCGTCTGGAGGCAGATCCTAAAGGACGGTTTCCTCCTCCGTGGCCGTGCTCCCACCCCTAAGAGAAATGGTTTCTCTCATTCTATCTTCCTTTTGGTCTTTCTGTACAAACAGCGCCAGACCTATCAGTGAGGCAGCCCCGAGGCATTTATGGCCAAGCCGCAGAGTGACGGTGGAGAATTTCTCTGGGGGCCCTGTGGGGAAAACAGGAAGTGGTGGAGGCAGGACCGGCAGGGCGCTGGAGAACCTTGCGCAAAGTGGCCCCCAGGCCCATCCATTTGGTTGGGGCAGTACAGTCTTCAAATGGAGCACAGTTTTAGCAGGACCCTCCACTGCCCAGCAGCCACAAACTCCCAACCCTTTGACTCTCCTTTAATGCCACATGAGGATCTCCTTTGCCCGGCTCCCAGGAATGTTTGCCCTTCTCAGTCTGCTTCACCTCTAGAAAGCAGCCAGGCGCCTCAGCCTTCCAGCCCAGAAAACAGAAGATATGGGGGATGGGGGGTGGGTGGAAGAGCCGTCATTCGTGCACATCCCAGATCTCAGAGAGCAGCGGGGGAAGCTTTTTGTCCTGCAGGCGCAGTGCAAACACTTGCTCTGAATGGACACTGCTCAGTGTCCGGAGGCTCACCAGTTTCATGAGCATTCGTGGGAACATCAGTCGGTCCTGGGGGAAGGAGAGAGACAAGTACAGTTTCTGTCTCTCCCCAGGGAAGAGGGCAAGGGTAGGGGAATTGTGGGAAAGGTAGTGAATTGTCTGTGCAAGATGTAGTCAGGGAAGGATTCTTGAAGGGAAAGTAGGTGTCAGGGGATGAGTCTGTGGGGAGGAGGAAAAGGGGGGAAACGCAGGGGGAGACTCACATGAGGGTGGTGGATGGAGACGTAGGCATGCAGGGCCTCCACATATGTGTGTTGCAGCCTCTCTACCTGGAGCTGGTCCTGCACGTTGGGCCGGTCTATAGGTCACCAACAGAGCTGAGGAGCAGGTCTGGCCAAGGTCTTAGTTCCATACCCCAAATCATAACCCCAAATATATGGACATGCCCCACCCAGCCCCTCCCCAAAGTAGCACAGCAAGGGCTTCCACTCGCACAATTCCTGCCCTATGGGGCCTGCAGCCCCCTTTGGTGCAAATCTCTTGCCCCTTTTCCCGCCTGCACCTCCTCGCACCTGCAGAGAAGATGCTGATGGCAATGAGCAAAGCAAACTCGGCATCATTGAGTTGCAGCTCATTCATGGCTCTGGAGAACTCGAAGATGGGGTTGATGAACTCCACCTGCAGCCCTGGGGAGGAAGAAGGGAGGCTGGGACATGTAGCACGGGCAGCAGGAACTTCCTTCTCTCCTCCAACTCCTCAACTTAGGACTGTTAGGAACTCGCTACGAAGTCTTCAGGGCTCTGCTGGGCAACATTAGGCAAGTTTCTTAACTTTTCTAAGCCTCCTCTGTGAGCTGGGAGTCCTATCTGAACTTAAAAGACTGTGGTGATGGTGAAATCACAAAGCAGGCAAAGCATGCAGTGCTGTGCTTGGCCCACAGGAGGTGCTGGATTCAATGATAATACCTGCTATTCCTGGAATTCTCCAGGGCCCCACATGACTAGAAATAGAGGCAATGCTTATTTTTGTTTACAAAGAAAACTCTTTCACTGGCAATTGGCCTTACTTATTTGAATACCAGAGATACATTTCATGTTTCACGTCCCAGCAGGAACATAGCAACGTGGTTGAGGGCATGGACTGTGACATCACACTGCCTGGGTTTGAGTCCTGGCTCGACCATTTATTAGGCTGTGTGACCTTGGGTAAGTTATTTAAGCTCTCTGGGCCTTGGTTTTTCCATCTGTAAAATGGAGATAATAATAGTACCTACCTCAGAATGGGTTCTTAGAATGGTAAACTACTATATAAGTGTTTGTTAAATTAGTAAATGAATGAATAAATGAATGAGTAAACGTAAAACATAGAACCAGTCTTCTTGCCGAGGAGGGTAAAGTTCAACAAACCATGACCTACAGTCATGACATCTAAAGAACACTTCTCCCATTACAAAGGCTCCCCACCCCACCCTGTCCCCTAGGCTTTCTCAGATTTCTTTTAGCAGCCATCTGCTAACTTTTCCATTCGAGGCTTCCTGATTAGTCACTTCCTGTACTTTCACCCTGATGTTTATCAAGTGTGTGTTGAGACAGTTGAGACATTTAATGGATAAGTGCCATTTTATAAAGCCTTTCTTGGTGGAGTGTTGAGCCTCAAAATGTGCTGAACGGCCCCTTTGTACAGAGAGGATGGGGAGGTTCTGGAGTTGGGCCGTGCGCCCTACCAGGGCCGCTCATGCTCGCTGAACACGCGCCTCCGCTGCTATCGATCCACATCCCGAGTTGTCCGCCACATGCAGCACACGGTAGCGGATGCAGAGATGGACAGAGACCGGACAAAAGAGAGGCCCTGCCCCTCCTCCCCAAGACCTCACTGACAAAAAGAAAGGCAAACATGATGGCATCAAAACTGCTTACGTCAATGAAATCGATAAATAGGTGCTGATTCAGATGGCACGAGTCCACAAGTGCTGAAGCAACACCATAGACATGAGAATGGCAAAGGGTTCAGAAAGGAGGGTGTTCGGAAGGAGGCGGCGGCCATGCTTTGGAAGGACGGGGATAATAAGCATTTGGGGACCAGGCAGATAAAGGGAGCAGGGCTGGGCTTTGAAAGCTGGAGAAAGTCATCAAATTGCCCCATTAGGTGCCTACACACTCCAGCAGCACACGGGGCCCTACAGAAGGCAGGAGATGCCCACAGAGCTCGGCCATGCCCTAGAGTTTAAGGGAGGCCTTCCTAGAAAGTTCACTGGGGGGGCCTGTGTTGGAACAAGAGGCATATGAGCTGCTCTGTGTCACCAGAAACCAGAGAAGATTATGAGCTCTGCCCTGGAAACCAGGACCTACCAACCCCGAGAATGGAGTCATAGCCTCAGCCCTATTTCACAGACCTACTCCCTCAGGTGTTCAACTACTCGGTCTCCTGTTGAGCCGAAGTTCTAGTCTCTCCAAAACCCTCTCAGCCTTCCATTCTCTCCCACCCCCACTCCCATAACACAAACATTACCAACAATTGAATATGAGGAAACCAACATTGCTTAGCCCGCAAGCAAGGAGCAAAGAGCAGCACTGTGAACTAATTCTTGGAGAAAACACTCCAGGTACAGCATGGGGATGGGAGTGTTTACTCTTATCCTAAAACTGCCCTAAAATTGCCATGTTTCAGCATGTTTTTAGCTTTTCAGAAAGAGCAACTGAAAAAGAGTAGGGGGCAAAATCACTCTACACAATCCTTAAAGAGCACAGTCAAGTTCATCAGTAAATACTAAAAGCCTCCGTGCAACGGTTTTCAAGCTTTTTTTTTTCTAGCTGCGAAATCATTTCTTCAAGCAAAACATTACGCAGAAGCACAATATTAAATGGAGTTTCTTGTTTGGCTAAAGAGAGGATGAAAGACAGTCCTGTGCCTCTCTGTTCCTCCTCTAAGGTGACACTTCTGTGGAGCCCCTCAGGTTCCCTGAAACACTGAAAACCACTGGCCAAATGCAACAGAGGACAGGGGTCTCTTTGGAACAGCGAGAGAGGCCTATCACCACCCCAACTTTCTATCTTAGAAAAACAAGTGGAGCCTTCCCCATACAGCCACCCAAACCCTGGGCCTGTGTCTCTGTAGTCCCTATGAGCCTGATGACAAAAAGTGTCTTTCCATCCAACCTGATCCTTTTTTGATCTCAGTTCTTACCTGCTTTGGCAAAGTCTTCCCGGTTATAACTGAAATCCTTGAGGAAGGTGATACTCTCACTCCCGGGGTTGTACCTCCGAGATGTCTCCAGAAGCATCACCTGCACATAAGGAGCAGACCTCAAACAGGGACTCAGAAGGCTGGTCTTGGCATGGGGCACCTTGGCTCCCCACCAGGCTGCCTGGAAGCCCCTGCCGGAGACAGTCCCACCCTGGTGCTCCCTTCACCCTCGGCCTTGCCAGCCACCTCGATCGCAGAGGTTTTCAGCAGGGCGATCTGGTCCTCCCGGCTGAGCTGCAGGAAGCCAGGCAGCTGTTTGGCAAAATCAACAATCTCCTGCACAGAGACGATGGCTAGCTCGGTGAAGTGGGCAAAGCGCTGCTGACGGGCCTCCCGGCTCTGGGGATCGGGTGCCATGGGCCAAGGCTACGCAGCAGGGCAAGGGCGGAAAAAACAACCAACACTGAGTCAGCTATCCAGAAGTCGCTGGGCGCAGCCACCTCGCCCCAGTTCCCTCGGTTACCGTGACTCGAAGCCGGTCAGAGAAAGAGCGTTGGTTGCACTGTTGCTGGGCGGCCACCAGCTTCTCGATCATGCCCCACTGCTCGGGGCTGAGCTGGGGCAGGACTTGGGGAGGTGAGGACACCCTTGGGGTCATGGACGTGGCCTGAGCCTGTTCCTCCTCTTGCCGCTTCAGTTTCTTCAGGCGGATCTGCTCTTCGGACAAGACACCTAAGGACAGGGTTGGACGTGCAGAGGGGAGAAGCGAGGGAGACAAGAAGCAAGGGTGGGGCAGAGGGGTAGTTTGAGGCTCTAGAAAAGCAGAGAGCATCGGGTAAAGTCAAGGAAGAGATTTTAACCCATACTTGGGGACCGTGTAGGAAGACCCCGTAGGCTCAGCTGCCTGTCTGCTCTCACACCCCGGTGCCCCTTTCCCCCCAGCCTCTCCCCCCAACTCCTGTCCCCAGAACTCACACTCCTCCCGCATGCCAGCCTGGCGGCACTTCCGAAGACGACACTCCTGACATTTGCGGCGCATGTAGGTGTCCATGGGGCAGTGGCCCCCGCTGTGGCAGACGTAGCGTGCCCCTTTGATGACGCTGCGGCGGAAGAAGCCCTTGCAGCCCTCACAGCTCAGCACGTTGTAGTGGAAACCGGAGGCCTTGTCCCCACACACACTGCACAGCTCGTTCCCCAGCATTTTGGGGGCTGGCCCCTTTTTCCGCTTTTGTGGACGCAGCTCTGGATACAGGGGAGAGCCTTCATGTTCTTCTCCAAGGAGAAAGCATGCCCTGAGTACTCAGTGACCTTCATCCCCTTCACTGTATGCTGTCTAGTCTGTTATGAGAAAGTAGCTCTCATGTGCCAAGTGCTATTCCATCCTAGGTACTGCCTGAGCCCTTTATATGCATTGATCCTCACAACCGTAACAGATAGGTCCCGTTATTATTTCCATTTTACAGATAAGGAAACTGAGGCTCAGAAAGGCCCAAGGCAGAGACATTTCACATTCAGATCACTCAGATCTAGTAGAATCCAAAGCCTTTGGATTTAACCATGGTCTTATAAGGTAAACAGCCCTAAGGTACCCCTCCCAGATCCAGGGGGCCCCTACCTCCTCTAAATCCAACAGCTCCTCACCTGTAGACTCTGGAGGGGTATCCACCCCAGGGAGCAGGACTGCGGGCTCTGCTGCCTCCAGCCCTGCCCCCAGAGAGCCCCCAGCAGATTGGGGAGTGCTGGCTTCCTCCCTGAGGACGCCAGTGTTGCCTCCCAGCGCCTGGCTGCCGGCATCTTGTGCATTTGGCTCCCACAGCTCCACTGCAGAGTCTGAGCCCCGAAAGAGAGGTACAAGGGGGTCTCAGGCCCCTCCCGTCCACTGCCTCAGCGTCCTTCTGGGAAACTGCAAATTTATCTCTACCCCTAGAGGGCAGCAGGACCCTGGAGTTTGTGTGGGCTCTAGGGCTAGTCACTTGCAGTCCCCTGCACCTCAATACCTTAGATGAGGATGTTAACCTTTGTCCCCTTGAGGGGCTGACGTGTATCCACTTCAGAGGTCAGACAGAACTCTTCAAAGCCAGTGCTGGTAAGCACTAGACAAGCCAACTCTCCCCAGCAGCAAGCCCACATTGAGAAGGACCAGCACCAGACCCAGCGTGGAGGTAGTCTGGGCAGAAGGAGGCAGGCAATACTGAAAACGACTCTGGACTGCTCTCCAGGGCATGGCAGAAGGCAAGTAGTGAAGGAGGCTGATTCCTGAGGGAGGAGAGGAGCTGGGACCTGAGCGCAGAGGAGAGGGCTGGAGTGAAGAAGCTTACCAGGAGAAGCATCAGGCACAGGGGCCTCCAGCCACAAGGACATCTCTTCCTGGAGCCCTGGACATTACCAAGGAGGCTGTCCTGCGGGAATGACCCATGTTACAGTCTTCAGAACTGGGCTCCTTTCTGGCCTCAGCAACCTTCTCCTCCTGATCGTACGAGTACTAATACACCCGCTAACATTTACTTGCTGTATATGTATATATCAGCCTGTGCTAAGGCTTTATATGCCTTCCTCTTGATATGCCTATGATATCATGACTATTCTTAAGCCCATTTTATAGATGAGGAAACTGAGGTTCAAAGAGATTAAGTGAATTGCCTATAGCCACACAGGCAATGATAGAGCCAAGATTCCAACTCTGGTCTCTCTGAGACCAAAGTCTTAGCTGTTGGCTAAGATGGCCACCTTGCCACCTTTTCTCCCCCAGGGGATCCCTCCAGACCATCACAGAGTGTTTGGGCACATATGCCCAGCTTCTGTCAGAGTCCCTTCTCCCCGCCTCCAGCACTGGGGACAGCAAAGTTGGCCAGGACTAGGGCAGGGGATCGAGGCTCACTCACCCAGTAAGACTGTTTGTTAGATAACTTCACTGCTGTCACTTTCCAGGGTCCCAGAACAAACCTCCTGCTCCAGGAGTCGCTCCGTTTCACAGCCAGGACCCCCTCCCCCCAGAACCCCTCAGGAATTATTCTGGGACCTAAACAGAATCCTGTTGCTACCTGGGCTGCCATCACCATCATCCTTCACTTCTCCCCAGAGATCCCTTTCTAAGATCTACAGGGTACCCCCCCCCCATCCCAGACTCACACACAGAGCCCCAGGCCAGTGCTGAGGAGCAGACCCACCGAATCCCCCAGGCCACCAGACTGCCTGGCTGGGGCAGTCTCTGGAGCCCCCTTGCTGGGAGGGGAGGACGGTGCAATCCCCTGTCTGGAGGCCTCACGCTGGCGGAGCCGAGCCGGAGCTGAGCAAGTAAGGGACCGGAGCCCCAGGGAAGTAATGTGGGGAAAGGCTGCGGGAAGCGACTGCCAAGGGGTCGGGCCACTTCTCCTTCCTGCTCGGCAGAGCGGAGACAACTGACCAGAGCCCTGGCCGCCGCCCCCCACACCCACGGGGCAGCTTCCCCACCATGTTGACTCCTCCCCAGCCCACCCACCCGCCCCCTCTCCCATTGGCCTTG